GATTGCATCTAAATTGTTTCAAACTTTCAGAACCAGAAGCAGGTAGGAAGTTGTATGAGTGGTAAAAATTTCAGCACTTAAAGTTGATGTCTTCCTAGTAAACTTCGCGTTATGCCGCAAAATGTAGCGAGACTTTTTTTGTAGGAAGAGATTCGTTTCGAACTTTTTTCCTATTCATAGCTGTGCAGAACTGAGAAGAGTAAACTTTAATGGGTTTTCGAACACGCTCTTTCTAGCAGAACAAACAGAACTACGTAAAACAAAAGCTTTGAAGTATTTACCAATAAGCCGAAAAAAATCGCAAAGATTCTCTGAAAGCGTTTTTTGACAAGAATAATTCCAACGGGTACACCACCTGCAGGTAATTTTTCCAGCTCAATTGCTCCTAAGCTAGTAGATAATGCTGCCTAGAGGTGTCCTGCGTAAATCGTAGGTCTCTATCTTGTTTCTATTAGAAGTTATTTTGAAAATATCACGGGTCACCGTTAATTTAATACATTAGGAAATTGTACCTCTATTATCTCAGCCGGTAGACCTTTGGTAGTTTGAAAATTTTTACCTGGTACTCAGAAAATTATGAGGAATAGTCTGGTCGACTCAGATTTTTGATAAAGTTACTTACATTTTTTCCCATAAATTGTACAACTAAAATACGATTCACTCATATACACCAACTTAGAAAAACAATTAATCAGAAACAAACATAGATTTAACTATGGAGTATTTTTCTGTTAACACCATAAGTTTAGGTCTTTTTCTTTCACTTCGCTTTGCTATACTATTTCGTACTGCTTCAACAATTAGCGGATTAGAACGTTCAACTAAACGGTTGAGTGTGTCACATAAATTTACCGTATGCTCGCATTTTCGGCTAAGAAATTTCCTGTACCCAAGCAAAAGTGCCCCAGTCCAAATATCTAGATGTTTTAGTTGGTGTACCGATAGATACTTTTTACTCTTTTATCTAGATGCTCTACGTGAAATATTCAGTTAGCTGGCTGCGTTGCTCAATACATACATCTACATACACCAAGTTAAGCCCCGATGTAAATGCTAATTCATGGGCAATTTTAACTAGTTGCATCGGGACAAACATTTATCTGCATCTAGATGCATCGAGCAGTAAATTGGTCACTGCGATGCACTGGGTGATGTTCGATACTTTTTCCGTGCTCGGGTAGTTTCGTACGTCTTTATTATATGCTTCTATTGCTTCTTCTGAAAGTTGTCCAATATTAACACCATCGCTCCTTGTAATAAGTTCAGCAGAATTAAATATAAGACTATGTGATGTCAAACTTTATTCAATCCACGGTAATTCTATGGTAATGCATTTTGAAAAATCAACGCATTTTTGGTGAAATAACTGTTATCTGTATTGATACTACTATCTATCCCAAAATATAAGGCGGGTCGTTGTTTTTTAATAGCTCAATAACGGGAAAAGATAGAGGCTTGCGATTTTCAGCAGTCGAAAGATGGCAGTTTAAGCTATATTTTCATAAACAAAATCATCTTTCGAAAACATTCCGAAGACCGATTTTCTACAAGATCTTTGGAAAAACAGCTCGGATTTCCAGAAACCGACATAGTAATCTATCGTTCTTTTCCGTAGATAAATAGTTCAAAGTGTCGTCTACAAAATAAGATCTAAGCAGAAGTCTGGTTTTGCTTGATTCGAGCGCCACGAACCTTTTTTCCGAAACCTTAGGACTTCTCTGTTGTTAGGTTTAGACTGTCAGAAATACATGAAAACATAGGTTGTCGACTATGCTGATCTTTTCAAAAACTGAAGTATGTTCTGTTGATTTTTAAAGCTTTTATTGGACTGCATAGTATTGAGCAGGTAAAATAGAGTGTATTTTGATATTCGGACATAATTTGTATGGATCTTGACCGGATTATGAATCTTTTTTTACTTTACTCAAAATAGACAAAAATGGGATATTTCACCTAATACAGGTTTTCACTAGGTTTCTGAAACGTTTTTGAAAAACAAATGTTGCCACAAGATTCAGCATAGTCGACAACCTATGTTTTCATGCATTTCTGACAGTCTAAACCTAACAATAGATAAGTCTTAAGACTTCGGGAAAAATCTTCAGAATTTCCGGGCGAGACAAGGTGAAGTTTTTGCTTAGTTCCTGTTTTGTAGAGGACACCTAGGACTATCCATATATGAAGAAAAACTAATAGATTTCTATGTAAAACATTAAAGCTGATTTTCCAGATGATTCTCTGAAAAATCGGGTTCACAAATTTTTCGAAAGGCACTTTTGCTTATGAAATATGAAGTCAGCTGTCCCCTTTCGTTTGCTGGAAATCGCAAGCCTCTATCCTTGCCCGTTATTGAGTTATTAACAATACAACGACCTGCCTTATATTTTGAGATGGATAGTAGTTGTTGATGATATTACACGTAACATAACAGATAATTGATGCACCAGTCTTTTCAAACACTCTTGGTATCTTTTTGTACACATTCAACTACATCTATAAACGACTTTTTCTGAAAAAAATTGTCTTTTTTATTCACCGGTTGTAGACTGATCGCTTTTTCGACTGGGTTTGCTTAACGGATCTAATTTGAGACGTGTTTTTTCTTTTAATTTTTCTACAATCAGTTAGTGTACTTTTTCGACCCTTGTTTCACATTTCCTTTTCGTATTTCATTCCATTTAAGGACATTTACATGCATATGATACATCTCAGGGATAAAAGCATTGACAAAGAAACGCATTTTTTGTTCGTTTTTAACGATCATAAAACGTGTTAAAAGTTTCAAAACGAACGCTAATAAAAATGCGTTCCAGAACGAACGAAAACGCGTTGTTTTGGCCGTGACTAACGATCATAAAACGCGTTGTAACTCATTTTTGACGAAGGTTTTTTGAAGAAAACGCGTTAAAACGACCAAAAGAACGTGTTGGTTTTGAACCCGTTTTATATCTTTTTCGCAAATTTCTAAAAAGCTTGTGTTACAGAGTATACTCTGTAACACAAGCTATTTCCAAGCAGCATCCACGTAAAAAAGTTGACAATCGTTCGGCAATCTTAACGGTAATCAGTAACTTTTGGTTGTATTCGTTCTATTTCAGTACGTTCTTCGTAAGTTATCATTTTTCACATTCTTTGGTCTCAATAGTGGAAAATGCTTTCATCGATTGATTTGTAGCCGTTTTCGAAAATATTGGTTCGTTTTTTGTAAAAACCCTATCGGTCTTCTATAAAAGCATGCATTTGTCAGAAAATTCATCTGAATTTTTGGCATTTTCGAAAATCCACACAGCTTTTTCTTCAGAACTTCGACGCGATTTTTTACGAAAATGTTGATTATCGTGAACGATGTTGTAACTACTTTAAAAACTACTCAAGGATTTTTACAGTCGATCTTCTATAAATTAGAAAATAACTTCTTTTTACAGAGTGGATGGATGTACAATACAGAGAAGTGGATGGCATGGTCATTTAGTTTTCCGAAGTCAAGTTTTACAGTGTGTTACTTCTTTTTTGAACTCTTTCCACACTCTGATCTTTAAAGGAAAGAATTCTGCTCACATTATACCAACAACTTCGAGAAAAATGACGACATAAATGAAGAACGAGACAAATCTCTAGTGAATGCGCTTAAAAAGTACTTAGAAAAGTACTTGGGTAAGTAATGTCCAGAGTACCTGTAGTTTTTGCAAGTAAAAAAGGTACTTATCAAGTAATTTAACAAGTATAAGTAAGTTTTTACTTATTAGATAAGTACTTTATCAAGTATCTGGCCGGTAACCTGATAAGTACTTGCGAAATATATGCAAGTATCCGAAGTTCTTCCAAGTACCTGGTACGTATTAAATCTAATTATGCTTGACAAGTGCTCAACCAAGTATTTTAGAAAATTGGCATATAGATAAGTACTTGGTCTCAAGTACATCCACTAGGGCAGTATCAAGACGGTATTCGCAAACACGCGACATCTATTAAATTATATTGATATTGCTCGCACGTTTGTCTATTCAATGAATACAGAACGAAAAATATAGATAATCAACGGCCTTCTGTAGCAGCAGTTATTAGCAGATAACTTCGGGCAAGGATTCTATTAGATAACTACATATCAACAACTATGATGCCATATCAAAAGTTTTAATCTTTGAAAGACACGATTAATTGGTACGTGGTATGTTAATTAAGTGTGTCTGCTTTTATGTTAGTAATACACTCAGAAATTATTTTTGATATGCTCAAATTCATCGGATAGATGTTAAAATTAAAACAAACGGTTTGGTGGCATCTTCAGAGAATGTCTCCGCAACGATAACTACTCAGAAGAAAACAAAATAGAGAAATCTGATGTTATCTGCATACAGCTATTTTGGATTATTTGAAGATTTAACATGAAGCGCGACTTATACTTTGAACTGCACACATTTTCTGTGAAAAAGTGCTGGGAGAGTTTTACGAAAGAAATCACTGTAACCTCTTTAAATTTGAAAAGAACTTGCTGCTCTTGATTATTGAGCGCATTTGCAAATATATATTCTACTGATAATTTTGAAGTGAGAAGATTGTTTTGACATGCTATACATCAGTACTGACTTTCCATGACTGAGTATTTTTGCTGGATTTGGCTCAGATTATGCATCGAGTTCTCAAAGTCGACTCGATGTTGGAGTTGAAGTTTCTGTCCCTTAAATTCATTATACATTTTCAACAAATTAATTTAATAATAAAAATGCCTGTTTCAATGAGTATTAATGAATCGATCGAACCTCTTACACATAAAACGCGAGACAAAACTTTCGCTATTTTTTCCCATTATAGAGACTACGTAGATTGAACTTGAACTTAGAAGTAGCTGGCCTTGTCTATCTTTTGGATTAAGTATTCATTCTTAATTTATCTCTCTTTGATATCCATCTCTGCTTCACCGAAATATATAAACTGCTTAAAACTAATTTGTAGAAAAATGTATTTTACTTACAGATTTAGTGATGGTTCCAACGTCTGAGCGTGATTGGGAGTTTGATAGATTCAATGATGGATCGAAAGGTATCATTAACACTTCTATAATTGTGGTTATTTACTCTTGTATTCTATGCTTAGATCTGGTGACAAATGCTCAGTATAGACGCTACAATCGATTTTTAACACAACATAAACAATCATTAAAACGTATTGAAGAATCATTGGGATCAAATATAACCGATGCATGGGATTTTGACTTGAATCCTGTTGAATTAACAGTAATTATATTATATTCTTTGATTAACTAAAACCGAACTCATTCTATAAATTTCTATTATTTATAGTTTCTACCATATGAACAAGCATCCATATTGGATTTAATACGAACTCAAAATAAAATATTGAATAAAATAATCATTGTATTTTCATCATTATGTTGTGAATGTAAATTTCTCGTATATGAATGTGAACGAAAATATATACCAGCTATATTGTTTTTCGGCGAAGGAGGTAGGTGTGATGTTTTTTCTTTTGTTACATAATTAAAATATTCTTTTTTATTTAGAGCAAGATGGACAAGAACGATCCACATACGTAGGACAATTTGTATCATTACTGCAGGTAGGTTATACTGAACGAGTCATATATTCTAACGTGACCTATTTAATTTTTTTTATCAAGGATTTATCATGTTATGTTAATCGCTGCAATGAAGTTGTGCTCAATATTTTACAACAATTATCAGCTTTATATGGTCCAATCAATCAAAACGGACGGTATGAAACTATCGAATAAAAAACAAAACATAACGTTTTACCTTTATCTATTTTTTTTAGTCCAAGATTGATGGATGTCTCTGACCTTCATATACCGGTACGTGATCGATATTCTAGGCTAGTAGGTGATTGACATATTTCTTATTTATTTATAGATCGTTTTTGAACATCTGGCCGATTTATTACGTTGTTTAGTGACATTAGATGAATGTTTTCGACGTAATTCTGCAATTGTTGAATTGTGGCCGCAGTTTAAAAGGTACGGCTTCTCTAGTTTAAACAAATGATGAATAATACGTGTACTGTGCTTTGTTGTAGAATGATAACCTCTATCAAAAATAATCCAGATAAAGTGCAAACAGATTTATCACGTTTACCAGCATTTGAAAAAATTCTTGTGGCACTTGAAGGACAACTGTTAGACGGAAGAATATTTCAAGTTAGTGATTTTTCAACTATTTTTGATTATCTCACTTTTTATTGACCCTCTTTTCAGAATTGTATCGAACAGATATTTGACTCAACACAAACAGTCACAAAAAACTCGACATTAGCCGATGAATTTTCACTTACTATACGTGATTTAATGTTAAATATTGAACCGAAATTAGGTATGAAAGAAATAATTTTTACTACTTAACAGAAAACTATTTGATTATAGGTGAATTTAATGAAATGGATAGTCGTTTAAAATATGTTGGAATATGTGCATTATATTGTTTACACTATCAATTGTATCGAATATTAGATAAAAAACAACTAAAACCAATATGGGATGTTTATAAAAAAGTGAGTAATTAGCAAATCAACGATAGATAATATCTATATTATATTTATATGGATTAGCAGTTTAGTGTTTTTTCTTTTAGATTCCAATTGTGTATTTAGTTGGTAATGTTAGTTGGATGGCTAATAAGTTCTTGTTAGAAAAAATTCCACAATTGATGAAATTATTAGATAAGAAAGCATTGCAAGCTGTTGAACAACATCGCATTACTTATATTCAAACGAAAGAATCAGCTTTAAGCAAGTAAGAGTAGATGTTTCATTCATACTTTCAATCACTCTGTAAATGGTGTTTCTCCTTCATTTATTTATTTGTAGTAATCGGTAAGATTATGTGCATGTTCTAGGTGTTTAGCTTCTGTGTATCTAACTTCTAACATCTGAGAACAAGTTTTATTTATTAAACAGCCCCTGTTTTGCACTATACTCCAAACTGTACAAATAGCAACTGGACTGCTAGACTCAGTTATAATCGTGTATTTCGAGCACCTTCGATTTGTTGTTTTGCTTTTGTAATGCACAAATGATACTAAACAATACTTGTGTCTTAACTAATATCACTATAAACAAGAGTAGAACGAAACTTCGTTGCTTTATTGCATTTTGGACAAGCTTTCCTTTCCTTTCGTTTGTTGCCGCATTCTCTTTTCTTTGTATTTGCATGTATTTGACCTCTCTCTTGTCTATCTGTCATGGTATATTACATAATCGTCAGTGATCTTTGTATTGTAGAGAACTTCAGCAAAGTTATTTACAAGTTCTTTCTTGGCTTGTTCGCATGGATTCACAACTCATAAGTACCGATGGAACAGAGAACAGTTTAGAAAAAGATGTGATGAGAAAAAGTTCACTTTTATTACAGGTAAATCTCTTGTTATAGAATCTAAAAGTTTTTGATTAAAATAACGTTTTCGTTTATGTTCTTCTCGTCCGTTTCAGGGTTTATTTACTGCTTATTATTTGTCTCATACAGTAAAAACGTTGATTAGTTTACATTATTCATCAAGTTTACCAATGAAACCTGAGTGCATGCTCACACTCTACCGATATACAGAACTGTTGAAAGTAAGACTATCGTTATTTCTTGTTGAATGCATAAAAAAATAACCTAACATAAATTCTAGGTAATTGAATATACATATTATCGACATTCAATGGCAATTGGACCCTATTTTAATGCAATGATGCAGTTTCTTTCTCAAAGACTATTGAAACATATTGCCGCTGCTAAAGTAAAACTGCTGAAGTATTGAGTATATAAAAAAAATTTATTTCATTTTTACATTCAGAAACGTATTACATTAACAACAGACAGACGTGTGAGTGATAAACAATTAGACGTATTAGCTGGATTGGTCTTAGCTGAATCATGTCTGAATGGACCTAGTAAGTTAAAAGAACTTGTCATATTCAACATCTACTCTGTTTTGTCTCAGGTACAAAAGAACGTTTATTGATTGTTCGTTTGGCATTTTCATTTGGGTCACGTATGGTATGTAAATTTGATTTTGAAGATAAATAAATGTGCAATTTTTCTGTTTATTTTAGAAAACATTCAGAGAAGAAGAAGTAGTTGCTTTCGAAGATACTATGAAAAAATTAGAAACATTAGCGTCGTTTTCTGAAAAGTATAACGTTATCAATAAAGACTTTTCTAAAAACTTGCTGATTACTAATTTTTTTCTCCCATTTAGACTTGATAATGCGTGTGATACAACCTTTACATATTGGGAACAAAATTCATTTCGACTTTATTTACAAGATTTATTCATAACCGTCCGTGATCCTCATCGACTCCATGTATGCAATCACCATGAATACTTTTTTTTCGCTCTAGAATGATCCCTCTTTTGTTTTAGTATATTTTCGCCGCTCTTCGTGACTGTGTACCATCGTTAAGATTTATACGACATGATAAATCAGAAAAATTAATTAATTTATATAAAAATGAAATAATGAAAATATTTGATCAGGTATGTCGTTTTGTTCGGTTGATCTATATGATTACATAGGTAATGAAAATAAATGTATATCCTAGTGTTTTCTGCAAGAATTATTCAAAACAATCGAAGATGATTTACGTTATTCGTGCCATGCACATTTAGAAGTTGGTGATAGAAGCGTATTTCGTTCAAATTTTAGAGATGTTTCACCATTTTTACGTGTAAAACCAATTCGATTCTTTGATGAATTTTTGAATATTAAAGGTAAACTTGTTTGAATTTGTTGAAATATTTGTTTTATTTGTTTTTCTTTTTCTTTCAGGTGCTGTTGAAAGTTATTTAGACAAGAATTTTTATGATTATACCACAACATCATCAACAGATTGGAATACGTACAGTGAAATGAGAAATTTAGCATCACAAAAATATGGTCTCGATTTACATGAACCACATTTACCGAGTAAAACATTAGAACAAGTATGTATCATTAAAAAAAGGTGCAGAAGTAGTGTTCAATTGATGTTGATGTAATTCTAGGGTTGTGATGTACTTGATTTAATGCGCAATTTAAACTCATTTGTATCACAACATTATTACAATATTAATAATCAAATATTTATTGAACGATCCAGCAATAATAAATTTTTAAGAACGTTGAATATTCGACATGTAGCCAATTCAATACGAACGCATGGAATTGGAATAATGAATACGGCAGTAAGTTCAAATGCTAATCGAAATAAAAATTCATTATATTCGTACATATTTTATCTTGAGATATATACTGTTGAATTTTAGGTTAATTTTACCTACCAATATCTTCGTCAAAAGTTTTATATGTTTTCACAATTTTTATTTGATGAACATATTAAATCTCGTCTAATGAAAGATATCAAATATTTTAAAGAAAATAAAGATAAACATAATCAACGAGTATGTTGCATTTTTCTCGATTCATTATATATTTTTTCTTCAAAATTTTGACTATTTTATAGTATCTATTTGAACGTGCAAAAAAGTTTTTTATTGGCATTCGAAAATTAGGTGTACAACCGGATACAAATGAAACATATTTGGATCAATTTCGACAATTAATTGGACAAATTGGTAAGATTGATTGTCGATAATGATTTTACTTTATGTTATTGTTATTTCTTACAGGTAATGCAATGGGTTATGTAAGAATGATACGTTCTGGTGGATTAAACACATGTTCAGGTTCAATTAGATTTATACCAGATTTTGAAGAAGTCATTTCCTATGAAGAATATTCACAAAAGGCAAATCTTCCTGTTGAAACCGTTAGTGCAGCAAAGTAGGTGTTATCATTAAACAAATTTAATTAACATAAATATCTATTTATCTATATCTAGACAATTGGACGATGTCATATCAAATTTGGTTAAAAATTTTACAGAAGGAACAGAATATTTCAAAATTTTAGTTGATGTGTTTTCATCAGAATTTCGGGGGAAAAAAAATTTACATTTGAAAAATTTTTATGTTATTGTACCACCATTGGTAAGGAATTTTTTTTCTCTCTTTTTTGTTTTAGTGAAAAATTTCTTCTCTTAATACTAGACACTGAGTTTTGTTGAACATATAAAACAATTGAAAGATAACTTAACAAAAAAATCAAAAGTAAATGCTTCGTTTACCGATGATGGATTTGTTATGGGTATGTGAAAGATCAATTTATGTCCTTCAGCTACACATGCACCAATTTTCTCTAACAAAAATTACATTTTAATCTCATCTAAGGTGTTGCTTACATCCTGAAATTACTCGATCAATATCGTGATTTTGATTCGTTACATTGGTTCGAAGCTGTTCGAGAGTCATTTGATAATGAGAAAGTAAGATGATACTTGTGTGATCTATATAATCTATCTATTATTTTTGAATTGTAGAATGATGTTATTAACAAATCAAGAAACAGTACTGAGGAAAATGTCAAAAAGGCATTGAATGCATCAATGAAACGAATTGAAAATGATCAATTGGTTTGTGAAATGCGCTATTGTATTAATCGCAATTTGATTTCTATTGATTTTTTTTTATAGGAATTTGATCTATTAAACTATTCGTTACGTAGTGCAAGAATCTTCTTCCGTGCCGATAAAACAGCCGATGAAGATAAACGTATGTATTGTTTCGCATCTTGAGTATGTGATGAGTAAATCTAGAGTGTTTTGAGAGACTATTTTCTATTGCTTTTCTATCTGTTTTAACGCTCTAGTTTAATAATCAAATTTCAGCTTAACATCTTGCTTTTATTTAAATAGATAAAAAAACTTGAACGTAAGTAGGGTCGCACTCTGTCGGTTATTTATTTACATAAATGTTGTAATATAGTTTCGTGTTGTATTTGATATTTTCGTCAAGAACATTCTCAACATTTGTTTTTCACTGTGCTGTTTTCTTCTCTAGGCACGACAACGTCAAGTGATGGAAAAGGAACTGCTGGAGAGGAAAACAATACTAGGCCACATTCTGATACAGTCGCCTCAACAGCTACGGACACAACTACTTCAGTATTACCCCCACAAAACATACCACCTCCTCCTCCTCTGCCCTCTTCGTCTTCGTTTATACCACCACCTCCACCACTACCACCATTTTTGATGTAACTTCAACTTTTATTACAACAAAAGTTTTGATACGTCGTTTTGATCAATTTTTATAATTTATTTTATTTTGTTGCATTTGTTTTTTTTACAAATATGGATCGATTTTCTTTTTGTAATAATCTATCATACCGGTGATTTTCTTGTCGTTTTCATTCTGATAGTTTATTTTGTGTTAATCTTAAATACATCAATCAAAACAGGATTTTTTGTAATCATGTAATTCTTTTCTCTCGAATAAATAAATGGTTTTTTCTTCATTGTGATTCTATCTATTTTAGGATTTTACAAAAAGCCGATCATAAGATCTTTGATTATTTTAAAGGGAGATATAATAATAATAAACTGCTTAGGTTTTGAAAAAATATTAAATCAATTTGTGAATTTAAGTTTTGTACTCAAAAACGGTTTTATAAATTCTCAAAAATGACCGCAGATTTGGTTAAAGTAACATAAAGTACCGCCAGTAACATCAATAAGTCCCACTTCGTTGTCTATATGAACTCCCAAAAACTTGCTCGCCCAGCATTTTGTACATAATTTTTGAAAAAAATTTCAAAACAGATCATTAGCGTTCAGAAACGAAAGATTCCTTTTTAATGTCTTTATTTGTAGGACGAATTCTTTGCTGGTAAGAAATTCAAATACTAGAATGCTATTATTTAGATGCTATCTGTTTGGTCCATTCAAAACTAAAGGGTTTGTTTACCTCTGGTTAGATAATGCATTATTTTTCCTTCAAAGTTAATCTAGCACCATTATTGGAACAATCCATTTTGTTTATAGTTGTTCAATAACTGTTGATTTATATTGATTTTCGTTCAAATATCAAGATTACTTTTAGCAATACTTGTTTCTATTAAAAAAAATCAAAAATCCAGTGAAAGCCTACATCTGATGAAATAATTCATTTAAAGGTACTTTCATACAAAACTGGAAAATTCATACCTCACTCAAAGCAGAGCTGGGCACGTCCAAGGTTTTGCAAGTCACAAGTCAAGTCACTAAAAAAATTGTCAGGTTAAGTCGAGGTGAGAAAATTTTTTCTCCCAAGTCAAGTCAAGTCACCCTTCGAAATTTTTTCCTCCAAGCTAAGCCTTATTAAGTAATAGGCAGAACATAAAATTTGCTGACGCCTTTTGGGTGAGAGTCAGGTTTTATAGTTTCAGAAACTCTGTTTCATGGTAAAAAAATGCCTAATTTAAACGAAAATCTTTTACTAGAAATGAATTGACTTGAAAAATTTTCAAGTTTAGTCGCGATCATGAAAAAATATTTCTCAAGTCAAGTCACTCAAAAACTTTTTCAACCAAGTCAAGTCAGGCTTGACTTGCCCAGCTCTGACTCAAATATGAGTAACAAATATGAGTACCAACCTCAAGTACCAAAATATACTCTATTTCAGCTAATTTATACGTTGATAATATAATGCAAAATATACATTCACAGGCCGCATTCGACGCAGATTTTGATGCTCTATAAAGTGATCCATAAGAAGCTGTTGCTTTAATTTGCACATAAACTCAAAATAATCGCAAAAATACTTGTACTTGCTCAGTACAAGTACTTTTCAAGATGTTTTAAAGTTTTTTGAGAATTATGAGATTGTCCTATGAATGCATATTTTGCTCAACAAATTACAACGCTGTTGGTTTCACAACATCAAGTACTCACAAATACTCGTACCTGCTCTGTTCAGAAGAACATCATAACAAACTAACATTTCCAAAACCAAGAAACTCCTCAAGCCCGAACAATGATAGGTATGTATATTTTATATGTACATATTCTGTCTATGCTGAAATGTAGTACATTTGATAAAGTATAGACTTCGCGACTTTTTCAACTGAGATACAATTTTGATATGTGCGTCGAAACGTGCAATTGTGCAAGAGTGCAGTGTACAAAGGTCTATTATTCAATAGTTCTACAAAATCTACAAGCATAAAAAGCGACTTTCACGCCATTTTGCATACTTAGACGTTTGTCACAAAACTCATGATTCAGACATAAGCATTCATAATGACGAGGAGAGCAACATAATGACGTATGGCAACATTCTCAATTAAGAATAATTAAAACGGTAGTTATATTAAAGTGTGTTAAATCTCTTACCTTGTATAGGCTCATCGGAACATAGTGGCTGTGTAAAAGTCTCATAATAAGAAAATGCAGTCTCAGGGTCTTGCCAGAAAGGTAAACTCGCTACGGAGTTTGAATCTTTTAGATTATAGTGACGACTAATTCGGTTGATTTGTACGCTGAGCAATGTCGCCTCATTCACAAGATGCTCGGATGGTCCTAGCGAACTGACCATAACTTATTATGCATATGTACGTATTCGGCTAATGTTCGAGCGTGAATTCTTCGCATAAGACAACGTTACTTTATCGCTAAAACTCACAGGCGAACTATAAATGATCTCACCTTCATTCTCACTTTTATTTTGGGTTCATAGTCACACACATCGAAGCAAAAGTGACAAATAGAAGGAAGAGTCCTTAGAAATGTGCCATGTGGCTGAGCCCTTTTTTGACATGAAAAATGAATTGATTCCCGAAAATAAAAACGAATTGAACACCGCAGTAGTTTGATCTTCCTAAATTATTGTCCTAGCGATCGATGCATGGGTTATGAGTCACATTTTAATCCAATTTACAACAAACTATTTACAAATGAAAAAAAAAGAAATCAGGCAGAAAAAAGTGTAAGAATCAGAATGTTTTTGCCAGAAGCAGAAGATTTGAGACTCATTTTACAACTGAAGAGTGGTTTTTAATTCCCACTGACTATTAGTCATCCTATTCTAATGGATCATATTAAATATGATCCATTAAAGTAGGATGCCTTTAATTGTCTTACAGTCACATAACTAGCAACATCAGACAACGTAATAAGCATTACTAAAAGACGCAAACACTAACAAGCAGCCACAAACACCTTAAAATCTGAGTTAGCCAATCGTCTAACGAACATCAAAAACGATTTTATAGTTTCGCTTCGTAAGCATACATTTACAATGAACACCCACAAATATCCATGATCACCCAAAAGAAAGGATAAGAAAACCCAAAAAAGTGTGCCAAATTCATCTCCAGATTGTTCTGAGCCTTTCAACTCCAACAAAAACTCAGATTGAAATGGTACCAGTATACTGGTACCATTTCTGGTACCAGAAAAACCTTCCACGACTCACCTTTGCCACACTGCTGGAAATACCGTATGCGAAAACCTATAAAAAAGTGCTTTTGGATTCAAAAAAACTATGTCGGCAAAAAATGCCGCCTGCTCTATGAGGAAAT